GAGAAGTTGATTTGTTTGCTTCAAGTACTTTCGTTTGTTTTACATGTTGTCCATCATATCCGGTGAGAGACACTCTTTTCCGACATCTGCTCTTAAACTTGCAGAAACGCGAGAAGGATTTCAAAATATCAAGGTGCTTCATGAAGGATTGTCACAGTCTGGACCCCTGTCCAACCAAACGAGCGCATTGGTCCATGTCTAGGAAGCATTCTTGTAGTACCTAGAACTGAGAACATGTAGCGTAGCCGCCGTGTAAGCTACAGCCGAAGAGAGAGTGTGTCCTTCCCCGGGTTGGAGGCCATCGCTAGTAGGTTGGAAAAGAATTGGTGAAGAAAGAATTGGGAGGCCAGCTCGGCCTCTCCTCTCGTGTCGCGGCGAGGTACAGAGCTCCGCTAGCTGCGAGGCAATCAGACACGAGGTGAGGCCGAGCGGGCCGCGTCTGGCAGAGCGCAACGATGCCAAGGAAAGCTCGAGGGGTTTTGCGAGCTTGCTTTTTTGACGCTTGTTTGTTTCTTTTTTATCGAGCAAGGACGCAACTAGGAGCTTACCCCATGTGAAATTAAGAGTGCAATGGACACCAAGGTGGATTGGAGGTTGAGCCCACAGAGTCACAGCATGTATCGTAAACTCTGCTTTGAAAGCTGTTCAAACCCGTGGCGCTTCTTTTCAGCACAAAGGAACACAGGTCTATTGAGGGAGAAAGAGGCAACCATCACAACATTGGTGAACCAGCCCAAGCACAACCAAGAGCTATAACTTGGCCTCTGGTTTGTGGAGAAACGGAAGGTTGCCATGCGGTTCTTCTCGAGCCAGGCGATCAGTGAGGTGCTCAAGCTAACTTCGAAGCTCGAGGAGTTGAGGGAACTCGGCGTTGGAGGCCATCGCTTTTAGGTTGGAGGTCATCACAGGAAATGAATCAGTTGGAATCCAGTCCGCTGCATTTTGGCCTCCAGGGCAGGAATGAATCTCAGGGAAGCTAGCTGCTAGCTTCCATGTGACACGATGTGAGGAAACTAGTGGATTCCTGCTGACTCGATGAGAACTTTTGGCCCAGGAGAAACTCGCTTCCCTTCAGGATGACGTGCAGAAACTTCAGTGGCGCCTGCAAGTTTGGCTGGGTGAGGAAGCAAAACGGAGGCATGCAGCAGATGCTTTTTGGCCTTTTCTAGTTTCACTTTCAATTTTACAGAAACAGAGGTTGGCTAGATGCTGCATGCTTGAATTCATATCATGCAGTATTGAAACCTCTCCCGTGGTCCTTCCCTCAGACACTTCTCCTGGAAGTAAGCACCTCAAATGGAGGCAACTCTCACTGCTTTGTAGCTTCTTGCTCCTAGTAGTACGGCCAAGAGCTCCTAGTAGCGTCCTCGCTCCTAGTAGTAAGGCCAGGAGCGACACATAGCGTCCTTGCTCGATGTACATCCAGCGATGGCCTCCACCCTAGTAGCGATGGCCTCCAACGTATCTCCTGACAGTTTGCAGTTCATGGTTCATGAATTGCTGTCTAAGCCTCTATTGGGTTGTGCATCTGGCCAGTACTGCACAACCATGAGATTGCTGTCCATTTGCATTGACTCATGTCAAGAAGCTTTTGAAAAACAATTTGCACATGAGGTAACAAGGAACATGTGCAAACGGGTGTAGAATTTCTATGGAGACCCCTGGACGAACTGGTGAGGTAAGGATGTAAGGCAAGCCACAAACTGCAATTACATATTATCAGAATGCACATATCCAATATATGAAAAAATATCAAGTTTGTGCTAGCGGAATTTTTACCGCCCAGAAAAACATCCAGAAAAACATGGATGTTTTGGAGATGGACGACTTCAGCACAGTGCCTCGATTCCGAGGGTTCAGATGTCATTCGGTTCAAATTACACATGCATACAGAAGAAACCCTTCTACGTTGCCACACAATGCGAGCGACTGAGAGTGGGGTGGGGGTTGGGGTGGGGAAGGGTGGGATGGGGTGGGATGTTAACGTTCGGTTCAAATTACACATTCATACAGAAGAAACCCTTCTACGTGGCTACACAATGCCAAAGGTGTCAAGCAGGGCATTCCTGCGTCGATCTCTTCCCTAGTGAAAGGTCGGACCAATAAAAACCTTTGGGCCTATGTGCGTTCGGCCCATTGGAGATGGGAACTCGGAGGCCACAGGTTGCTGCAGGGGACAGGAAAAGCTGTCGCGCAGCTATGACAGAAGATCTGTCACGAAGGCTGTGAAAAAGCAGCTGCGGATGGCTGTGGACGTGTCATGCGCTGCGGACACATGCTGGGACCATGGAGAACAGCCCCCCCAAGATCTTTGAGCCCCAAGAGAACTCAGCAGCCTTCTCAGATCGACCGAGCAGTTTGCGACGCGCTTTCGTGCGTTCGTTGTTCGTTCGCGCGACTTGATGGATCCGCGCGGTGTGAGAGAGAGGGAGAGGGAGAGAGAGAGAGAGAGAGACGTCCTTCCCGCGAGTCGTTTTCGGTCAGTCACACCCCGTTGACCCCACGGATGGTGCCGACGGATGGGGACGGGTGCCGGCGATGGGCGGTGTAATTGAAGAGGGAAACCACCAACCAATGGTTAGACGGTAGACTGGTCGACTTCTTCCATCCCTATTCATACACACGATAGAGTTACAGTACCAATATATTATATTAATATATTATGATCATTTCCCTACAGGTCAAAGACCTTCATTTTACTGACCCTGTCCATGAATCACGTTTCATCAACGGTCTGAATGGCCCGGAGGATTCTTTTTTCAAATAGGTTCATCTGTGGAAACGTGACAAAGCATAATTTTTTTTCCAAAATGTGGTCAAAATTCAAAAAACGAACGTGCCGATGGGGACCCCTTTTTGCCAAGAAAATGCTGTAAGGGTTGCACAACGCAAAAAGAACGACATTTTTTTGAACCCTTTTTTCTTTCTCAAAAATCAGCTGTCGCTGCACCGAAACAGAGAAAAAGACAAAAATCGTGGGGCGGTAATAATTCCGCCGGGAAGTTTGTGATCGCTGGTGCTCATTTTTTGAATGCCATCCCTTTGGCCGCCGGCCCATTAGACTTCATGTCCATGTCGATTTCTGCATCGGACGGGCTGTCGGGCCCTGTCGATCCAAGAGATCAAAGAGCCATGGCTGACTGGAAATTTTGCGGTCGAATATGATGCGATTAAGAGTTGTATCGTAGGCACGTAAGGCCAGCCCCTAGTAAGTCACTCCCTTAACTGCCCAAAAAGGGTTCGCATTTGATTAATGCGTGCAATTCGGCAGTTGGTGCAACCCGAACATTTCGATCCAGCCTTGACCGACTTGCCTGGGCACCTCATCTGGAATTGTAGCAAAACGCTCAGCCATCTCATGTACTTCTCTAAACCAGATGCGCTTGTGGTTATAAAGGGTACGTGGGGTTGGTCATCCACCGATACTCCCTGTAGACAGAGGTTTGACCGTTGCCTATGTCAGGTCAAATGGTGTTTTGGAAAGGGCGGAACTTGAGACGAAGATCAAGGACGGGGTTTTGGCCGGTGCGGCTAACGCTGTGCTGGAACATGTTTGTTTCGCTGCCATCGCTAGGTTTCTTTACATGTAAAAAGTGTTTCGTTCCAGTCATGCCCTTCAGGATGCCCAAAAATAAGAGCTTTGCGAGCTGCAGGATCTCACTGCTGGTGCCGCCGCGGTGCAGTTGGAGTTGGAGAGGCGAGAATTGGAGCGGAGCCTGGATCCAAACTTCTGGAAAGGTCCTTTGCTCACGGTGTATTTATGGGAACCGAATGGGCATCGGTTGACGAATGTCTGATCGGTTTACAAACACATTCTCTATTCTCTAGATGGTTGCGCTTAATCTGATCTCAACTGAGTCCCTTATTTGCCCTTTGCTCGCTGTCTCGTGAACCCACAAGATTCCTAGAGACTCCTTTTCACTTTGTCGACCCTATGCTACGGGACTGCTTGCAGTCTCAAGCACTGTTTACTCAGTATTTTGGCACCTTTGAAGCATGTCGCGTCCTTTCGATTTTGCCGTGGATCGGGATTTGTGCATCTTTGAGCCTGGATTCTTTGCAAGTCTAAGACCCAAAAGAGTAAATTGACGGGTATTGGTGGATTTTACGTTTCAGCATGCGATTTCCGTTGCTTCCGACGCTTCAATTGCTGACGGAAAAAAATATAGTCCAGCCACAAGGCCAAACCGCTCCAATCAAGCAGCTCATGGTGCCAATGTTTGATGATGTCGCGATGTTGTCCAGATACTTTTTGTGAGTCTACATAAATGTTTCTTGCTCCTACTTTCCATTTCAACAAGAATTTCTATTTTGACCACCATAAAGTCATAACACCCTTTGGCCCTTTTCATCCTTTTCCGTCCAACGCCTCTGACCACCATCCTAGCGTGCTTGAGGCAGAAGCAGGCCAGGCGTGCAAGGGAAGAAGGGAGGTGGGTTGCGCTTCAATGGCACAGCCGAGGCTTTAATAAGTTGCCCTGCACAGAACCCTGCACAAAAAGGGGCCTCGAATTTGACCTCTGCAGGGCCAGCTGGAGAATGCCGAGAATGCGGGGCAACAGGCAGTGCACCTGGACTGGAGATTCGGAGCGATGCAGTTGATGAGATTTGCAGTCGTTATCCAAGATGTGGTATTGTATGGAACACTTTGCTGCTAATCTACCGTGACGCTCAAGTGGGCTTTGATTTGGAGTCTATAGCTAGTATGTAGATTGTAAATTGGTTTCGGTTATTGGCTGTGCTAGACCTGTGCTAGACGACCAGGGTTGAAAAATGCAGCCTCATGGGCTTCTGACAGGCATCCGCATTGAGGAAGGTGTCGGAAGAAGTGGAAAAGCTTCAAAAAAGGACACACACACATACACTGAGACACACACACACACACGAAGAAGAAGAAGAAGAAGAAGAAGAAGAAGAAGAAGAAGAAGAAGAAGAAGAAGCTTTAGTCTTCTCCACCTTAGTGAGCATCCTGAAGAGCCTTGATGCCAGAGCCAGGGAAAGAAACACAATCTTACGCTGCTGGACTTTGATAGACTAGTTGAAGGCACAAAAGATCCGAACCCGTCGTGGTTTGAGGACAGAAGAACAAAATATCCAGACCGTTCAAGTAAAGTGCCTTATCTGCAAAGCAAAGGCTCTTGTACGGAGAAAAGCACTGCTGTGAATTTCAGAGTTCTTATGGATTTGGAGCTGAAGATGCCATAGGAATCGACACACACAGTGATGACGGTGTGGGTGTTGCCACAGAGTACCACCATGTATCACCACCGAAGCTGCTGAGGGCTGAGCTCGCTGCCACAGCGCAAAAGCAAGGATCATCGGAGGTGGGTCTTGCTCCTCTTGAAGAGCCAGGTTCTGTCAATTCTACTTTCCATTCTGTTCTTTAGGTTTTTGGAAGCACCAAAGAAAGTTCTAAAGAAGCGAAGTCAAAAGAAAGGACAGCAAAAACCATAAAAGGAAGAAAAGGAAAGACAGGTTCTAAGAAAAGGAAGCTTCAAAAGGATAAATTGGAAGGATTAGCCTAACAAACGAAGGACCTTTGCCGAAGAAGGCGCTACTCTTCTTCTTGAACCCTCACAATTCAGTTGGCGATATCGTTGACTCTTTCAGTTTGACGTTGCCAAAGTCGAATTGATTTTCGAGAGGTGTAGGGGGAAAGGAAACCGAGACGGAGGATTCAGTCCATTCTGGTTTGATTTGGATTATGCACCATGCCATGCTTCTCTCACCAATTCTCTCTGCCAGGCTGCCTTCGCCGCAGAGCTGCGTCACATGGAACAACAGCTGGGTAGGGAGGCCCAGCGGCACCAGCGGCACCAGCGGCACCAGCAACAGGTCGAAGTTGTGGACTCATCGGGATTCGTCACACCCTGCGCCACATTCGATCTTTTCGAAGGCGTTGGCAGGACAGCTCAAAGCGTCTTGCAGAGTCTTGCAGGTCTTGCTGTTTCATTTCTTCGTTTGGTGAGCAGCTGAGCATAGCTTCGGAAGTGTCCAAGTCTAAGTGACTTGAAGAGCTCCAAAATGTGATCCTTGTTCTCAGGACGCTTGAGGGACTCTGCCCTGTTTCTGCCAAGTTTTGAATGCACAGGGAGGAGAACACTATAAAATAGAATAAATATGTTGCAGAAAGGCTTCGCATTTCAACAATCACGCAAGAGCAGGCTGCCACGTTTTGGGGGAAAATGAACACCACACACACACAGTCCCTCCCACAAGTGGCAAAATACGTGTCGTATGTTCTTTTGTTTGGGCTTTAGGTGACTTTTTCCACATCGGGTGTTTTGTGGGGGGTTGTTGGTAGTTCCGAAGCTGTTTGCTTCTTGCAGCGGCCAATGTTCTGGGGGTGCCAATGGTGGCCTTTGCTTTGTGTGCTGAAAGTAGTGCTGTGCTGTTTGCATTTCTGCCCGAATTTAGATGCAGTTTGCAATGTTGACCAAGGTGGCCTTGCAAGAAGCAACGAGGCTAGTTACACAGAGGCGAACAGGTTCAGTGGGCATGTTCATCAAAGTACGCCAACTAGTCAGTGTTTTGCTGATGAAATTGATTTGCGACCATACCATGGTGCAGTTCTTGATATTCACCATTCTAGAGTATCGGTGGGCTGGAGACTTTGTCAAAGAAAGAGGGCGGGGACCCACCTTGATGGCTTGGTTGGAACCCTGTTGTAGACTAGCTTTTCAACTTAGAAATGCCTCAAGTGAGTTAGGGAATCTGACCTAAGTGGCTTGGCAAGGCACCGACTGCACTGGTTTGCAAGGCAATCCCGGTATGCTACCGTTGCATTTTTGTCAGGCCAAAGAGTGGAGCCATGCCGTGCAGGCTGTGCAACAGGATTTGAAAGCGCTAGCAGAAGAGAAGGAGCAGTTGAAGGAGGACGGGTCGGATGGTCGTCAAGTCTTGCCTGGCAGCTTCAATATCCATTTCAGCTATACGCTTTGAGGAGAGGAGACCGAGAAAGGAACTCACGCCACTTTTCCTGGCTGCTTGTGGGTGTGAAGCGTACTGGGAGTAGTTCCACGTGTCAAAAGGTTCTTTTCGAGTGTAAGGCTCCTGCGTACGAGGATTGCCCAGTGCATAATCAGGTGACCCAACCATGTGTCCAATCCCGCCTACCTATCGTTCTATGCAAGGTTCCCTTTGTCACTCGAATCACAAGAAACTTCCAAGGCATGTGACTGGATTTTTCTGTCCCTAACTCTGTCAGGAGATTTCTGCTGAGCAAGCAGAGCGGCAGCTCCTCAGCAAGCAGCTCTTGCGGCAACAGGCGGGACCAAGTTCCCATGCAATGAAGGTGCTGTTCGTTCTATGAGATCATCATTTCATTTTTGGAACCCTCGTTTAGTGCACCGAGATGAATTCTTCTTGTCCTTTCTTAATCTCTTCTGATTTCTTGAATTCAGCACCCCGAAAACTTTGGGTATCAAGAGCATGACAAAGACGAAAAAACAAAAAGGGAGGATCCGAAGAGCTGCAGATTTGACTTCCCGATCTCCTTCAGTGGCTGCTTCGGACCCTTGAACCTGGGTGAGTCTACCTAGGTTAATGGGACTTACACTTGACACCCCAAGTACAATGATTTATATAAATATAGAATTTTAAAGAAAAGGTCCAAAAAAAAAGGGTCTGAAGAGTACAAAGAGCTTTCGATGACCTTCGGTTGGGGAGGACCTTTCGGGTTGTTGGACTCAACGGTGAGACCCCGGACGCAGGGGGAGGCCGCAAGCCTGAAGACGGAACAGGCGTGGGCCGCGGCGATGTGGGTGATTGATTGGTATCAGCTTGGGGAGATCCTCAGATTTAAGCCACTTTTTGCCGAGAACATGTTAGAAACTGTTCATACCACTGTTTGACTTGATTCAAGGATCCTGATGATGTGCTGATGGCAAGAACGAAACCAGACTCAAGTTTCCCTAAAATCTAGGAGCCAAGTGATTAGTGCAAGCGCTTCCTTGAAGAAGCGTGAGCTGTCCTGCATCCATCCATTACTTAATCAAGTAGGGAGGAGGGCAGGTCGGCTAAAAACAAAACAAAACAAAACAAATAAGTGAATGTGTTCCGCCGGATTCTGGGAGGAACTGGGGGCAGGGGCACTGGGAGAAGTCTCTTGCTGCTTCCCTGGAGCGACTCTCACGCCCGACGACTCAGTCACGCGAATCCGTTCTGGAGCCGTTTGGGCAATATAAATATAGATTATACGGGTCCTAGTAGCGTCCTTGCTCCTACTAGTAAGGCACCTGTTCCTAGTAGCGTGGCACTTGTTCCTAGTCGCTTCTTGTTACTAGTAGTAAGGCCAGGAGCCCCTAGTAGCGTCCTTGTTCATCCTGAGTGGGTAAAGAGAGGGTGCAAGACCATGGCCGTCCCACATCCCATATCATGCTTCAGATGTCAGCACCCCTGTGGTTGGCAAACGTCGTTTGGACGAGTGGCTCTTGTCCACATCAGAGAGTAGTTGCTTAGGAGACTGCCTACATTAATCCTCGAGAGGAAACTGCTCGGTAAATGGACAAGGCTTGGTAGACGTGGACGACGTGGGACGACGTGTAGACGTCATGGGTGAATTTTTGGTGCCCCGACCACTCCAACGTGCCAGACTGTCGGCAAACATCTGCTCCTCAGGCGATTGTGATTCCAGGAATCTCAAGAGTTTTTGTAGGTGTTCCTGCGAGGCCCTCATTTTTTTGTCCTTTGGCATAGGCTTGACTTGTGTTGTATCACTAGTAACGCTTACTGTAACATGTGCTGTATCACTATCATGAATGATTTGATATGACTTGCTTTTTCCATCGTTTGTAGCGGATTGGACATGGGAAAGGCCAGGGGTTCAGTGGCGACAACGGCTCAAGTCCAAACTCGGATTCTTCCTTCCATTCTTGCACTACACATTGATTAGCTTAAACACCTCGAATTTGAATGCCGTGATGCCCTTATGTCACAGATCATGTTAGTGTTGGATCTTCTATCCGATATCAACATATCATGAAGAGTATTTGGGGTATGACACTAGCTTGCCTAGCTTGCGTTGCGACAATTTTATTTCATGTTTCTTTCAACATCTTACCTCCTGATTCATTGAAAGGCTCGCCAATAGATAGGTTGGAGGCCATCGCAATTAGGTTGGAGGGTTGCCGATAGTGAATTCCTCAAGGCCTGGAGACTTCGTCACATGCCAAGGAGGCCAAGGCGCTTCCGGGAATTTGTTGCGGAGACGTTTCATGTCTTACCCAACAGATTTGCTGTGCTTTCTGTCCAAATCTGCCAAAGTCTCACATGTGTAGATGTTTAGACTGTGCTGGAGACTCGGATCGCAGAATTTGCAGAGTCACTGCCTCCTCTATTTGTGTTCGACTTAAACAATCAGACTACTATGGGCAAACAGCCGACCACGGGATACACATACTGCCTCCAACCTAATAGCAAAAGAGACCTATAATATCCTATAATTGCGATGGCCTCCAACCTACTAGCGCTGGCGTCCAACCTAGGCCTCCACCCTACTAGCGATGGCCTCCACCTTACTAGCGATGGCCTCCAACCTAACAACCACTAGCGATAGCCTTCCAACCTCCTAGCCATCGCCTCCAACATAACAGCGATGGCCTCGACCCTACTAGCGACAGCCTCCACCCTACTGGCGATGGCCTCCAACCTACGAACAATGGCCTTTGACCTGCTAGCGATGGCCTCCAACCTACTAGCAATGGCCTCCAACCTACTAGCGATGGCCTCCAACCTAGGTCCTAGGTTGAACAACGTCAACTTTGAAGCCCATGAGTTTGACCTGCTTGGCTGACCTTTCTTCTTGAACGGCACTGGCACATGATATCTGGAGCTGGAAAGTTCAGGGTGTTTTGGTGTGTTTTGGTGGGTGTTGGTGTGGCTCTGGGTGGCGTGCTTTCCTGTGCTGTGTTCGTAGCGTGGTGTGGTAGGCTGAAGCTTTGGCCTCGAGACAGCTGGAGGAAGTTACCGCAGTGCACAGCCAAGTTGCCACCTGCCAGGCACACCATGTGCTAGTTTGCAGAGTCCAAGATTCTGCAAGTTTGGTTTGCAGGTTTTGAACATTCATAGAAGGCCGGATGTTGATTGCGAGGTCATATGTTAATTGCACGTGGCTTTGGCGCTCTATGATTCTACTCCAAAGTTTTGGATACTTCAGGCAGAAGCAGAGGAGATAAAGAAAGAACAGGCGCTGCAGATTGGTGTTCTTGATCCATGAAGTTTTATTTTTTTTTCCACCTTTATTTATGTGCTGCGGATCTGATTCGGGCACGTCGGACACATGCCCCCAGCAGCTAAACTTCCTTTAAAAAGAACAATTTTCGTTTGAGTTACTAGTAGCCGCGTCCTCCAACCTACTGGACGGCCTCCAACCTTTACCAACAATCGACGTTAGCTGGCGAGGCTACACTTGGCCGTCGCCTAGCGCCTTTGGAGGAACTTCCCTCACGCGCAAATCTTAGCTCAACCAAGGGGCGGCATGTGACCAACCAAACAGCCAAGCTCGGGGTCTCCAGTCATCAATCGACCTGTGATTGCAGCCCTCAACTGAGTTGTCGAGTCCTTGCGCAGCACAAGTGAGCTGCAGGGCGAGGTTGGGCATTGGGAAGGCTGTGGTTCATATGGGCTTCAGTGCTTGCTAGCATTTGCATGCTAAACAAATGACGCTGACCTTCCGACGTTTGGGAAAGGGTTTCTCACAAAAAGGATGACATTTGGAGAGCTATTCTTGGAGCAAAATGCATATGCCCACTGGCTCCGTGCCCGCGTGGTCTGTGCTGGACCGAAACACCGTATAATACCAGTGTTGATGATTCCCAAGCATAGGAAGCACCTGAAAAAACCACTTTTAGCACTGTTCCAGGCTCAGAACACTTTACGCAGCAAGGTTAGCAGTGTTGTGTGCATACTTCATCGGTCGCCAGGCGTGCAAAGACACATTTTGGGAATCGTCAACACTTGTATTTACGACCAGGGGGCTTTGAATGACCACAGGGTGACAAATCCAGGGCAACTTGACAGCCCTGTCTGGGTAGAAGGACTAAAGATACTGTCTTTGGATATTTTTAATCTCTTTCCTCACCCACACCACATTTGGACGTGCACCATCTGAAAACCTTTCTCTCACTTCCAAACCGACGTCCGCAGGAGCTCCGCGAGCTCCGTGAGCTTCGCCAGCTCCCACCGCAGCTGGAGACGCTGCGAAGAGCGCTGGGAGTGGAGTTGTCCACGCTGGCGGAGCGGCTCTCGCGTGGCTTTGAAGCACAGGACGTGGCGAGCGCGGCCCGCCAGATGAGGAATGGGACGAAGAGGACGAAGACATCTTTTCGAACCGAAGACATGGTATGGAGGCCATTGCTATTAGGGTGGTGGATAGTGGAGTAAGGAAACCGAAGGCAACCTTCGCTCGAAATTGAGTGATTTCGACCCTGTGAACCATTAGGTGCACCGGCTCAAGATGGCTAGGCTAGAAGGGCTTCAGAATGTGGGAAGTCTCAGGTCTCCCGGAGACCGGAGAGGTGAAGGTCAGACAGACTCGGACTCAGAGGTGAAGTTACACTTAATTCTAACTAAATTCTAATTTATATATTGTTTCTACTAGCTTCTTGTTACTAGCAGTAAGGCACTTGTTACTAGAAGCGATGCACTTGTTCCTAGTAGCTTATTGTTTCTACTAGCTTCTTGTTACTAGTAGTAAGGCACTTGTTACTAGAAGCGATGCCCTTTGCTCCTAGTAGCGTCTTCTCGTTTGGTCGAAGTGTAGGCCGCATTGGACGGGCTCCAGCGACTTCAGCATGAGCAACAAAGCCTCTTCTCCTCGCAAGAGGTTGAGCTTCAAGAGGTGAAGGAGCTCGTGCAACAACGGCTGCAGCAGCTGGAACAGCAACAGCAACAGCAACAACTGCAGCAACAGCAACAGCTGCAGCAACAACAGCTTCAGTTTCTAAGCTGCATCTCAAAATTGGGAAAACAGTCGTTGAGCGTTGACTGGAATGTCTACAGGTCAAATTTCAGCTCTGCCTTCCCTGACTGGTGTAGGCGCACGGACTTCCATTCATTTCCTGATACTGGTTTGTACTGTACCTCCCAGAATGAACGTAGGACGTAGAACAACAACCGGACCGGTGGCCAGGCCTGGCCAAGTGCCCGAAAGTGAGCCACATTTCACGAAGGCCTTTTAAAGGCGCCTTCCTCGAATCCTAGTAGGTTGGAGGCCATCGCTACTAGGGTGGAGGCCATTGCTCTTAGGTTGGAGGCCGTCGCTCTTAGGTTGGAGGCCATCGCTACTAGAGTGGAGGCCATTGCTCTTAGGTTGGAGGCCATCGCTACTAGGGTGGAGGCCAGTGCTCTTAGGTTGGAGGCCGTCGC